CCCTTAAATGTTTCTCAACTGTACCCATACAGATTCTACATCGTCAGAGCTAATATCTATCCTCACTGTTGTGGTCAATTCCTCTTTAACCAGCAATGCAACTCTGCCGCCTCTTCCTTTTTGACTCACCTTCCTAAATACCGAATGCCCCTTGGCATTCAGTTCGCATCCCTGGTTCCCCTGCAGTCATGCCTCCTTTATCCTGACTAGATCATACCAGTTTTTACATTACTTGACTTGTTCCCTTTATTTTTCACCATGGCCCCGTTCGATTTCTCTGCCTATCACTTTCCCTATTCCCTTTTCTGACTTTTGTTCTTGAGCTTTATTCCCCTTCTTCTGACTCATTTCAAAGTAGTCATCCCCTGCCAATTTAGTTTAAAATTTAAAGCCTCCCCAACCACTGTAGCAAATACTTCCCCGAGGAAATCAGTCCCAGTCCTGCTGAAGTATAACCATCTGGTTTGTACTGTTCCCACCTCCCTCAGAACCAGCTTCAATGCACCAGGACCCTGAAACTTTGCCCCTCACACCATCTCTTCAGCCGTGTTCATGTGATAATTCATGCTATTTCTACTCTGACTATTATGTGGCACTGGTAGCATTTCTGAGATCATTACTTTTGAGGGTCTAATTTCCAACTTACTTCCTAACTCCTTATATTTTGCTTTTGGGACTTTGTCTTTTTTTAACCTATGTTGTTTGTGCCAGTGTATATCACTAACACTGGTTGTTCAACCCTCCCTCTCCAGGATGTCCTGTAACCGTTCCGAGACATCCTTGACCCTAAGATCAGGGAGACTGTCCAAGTCTTTTTAATCTGTACATCCTTTGCTTACTATGATCTGCCTGTACTGCTCATAAACAAAGCTTTTCATTGTAATTCAGTACACGTGACAATAAAATCAATCAAGGTAACACCCCATTCTGGAGTTTTGTTTGTGGCCGCAGAAATGCCTAACAATTGCATTCCCACACTTTCTCCTCCTCTTCTTGTGCAGCAGAGCTAACAATGCAATGAATTTGGTTGTTGCTGCTTTCCCCGAAGAGTCCATTCCCTTCAACAGCATCCCAAGTGGTATATCTGTTTTTCATGAAATAGTCATCTGTCTGGTGATTACCCATTACCTTCCAGCCTGTGGAGTCCAAAATGCAGTGTGACCACCTCTGTACTGTGCTCTCCCAACACTTTGCCTCATAAATGCTCCACAGTGCCCCCAGCTCTGAAACCTTGGCTTGTAGAACTGCAGCTGGAGACACTTCTCGCAGTAGAAATGCTGGCCCCAGGCACTGGGACTGTGCCAGAGTTGCCACACACAGCAGGAAGAGCACACTATGGGTTTGAGTTTCAAGCAGCAAGTATGCACAAAGGCTCTATACAATGCAGCAAAATATATTTACTACTGAACTTAAATCTCAAAATGAAGGTCAGAATACCATTTGCTTCCTAATTGTTTGCTGCCCCTGTACACTAGCTTTTAGTGACTGATCAACAAGAACACCCAGATTTCTTTCGACATCCACACTTCCCAGCGTCCAACCATATTGCACTTTGCACCAGTCAGTAACCTCACATTTATCCTCATTATATTCTAGCTGCTATGTTCTAGCCTATTCAAGTTGAATTGAAAACTCCTTGTACAGTCCTCACAACCAACATCCCCACCCAAATTTGCGTTAGACATCAATTTGGAATTATTACAATCGATCTGCATGTACAATACTTTCTGATCAATCTTTGAGTATTTTATACTGCAATGTTCACACATTGGGAGTTGTGAGATTGATGATTAGCTTTGTCAACTCGAAGTTTCTGGAAATTTCTAGACCTTGATCAGCTTGCACGTTTTGTGGTCATTAGCAGACTTTTCATCAATAGTCCATTTTAAAAACATTTAAGCAATTATAGCTCTTTAGAAAAACATTTGGGATCTCTTTTCACGGCTTGTGGGCATAACAATATAAACTAAAGGGGAGAAACATTTTATGCAGTGGAAGAAAGTTCAATTACAATGGAACCTTCATTACTCCATTCCATTAGAGTTGACCACAATCCATTAATGAATTGGATGAGGAAAGTGAATGTACCAATCATTAATGTTGTAGGTGACACAAAAGTAGGTAGGAAGGCAAATGAGGAGGATGACATGAAGTTGACAGACGGATATACGTTCAGCAAGCAGGCAAAAACTTGGCAGACAAGACTATAGTGTGCTAAAATATTAGATCATGCACCTTGGCAGGAAGGACAGATGAGCTGAATATTATTTAAATGGAGAAAGCCGAGGGGGATTTGGAAAAGTTGGAAATCCTCATCCATGAATCACAAAAAGCTAGTATCCAAATTCAGCAGGTAATTGGGAAGGCTAATGAACACTAGCTTTTACTTCAAAGAGAATGGAGCACAAGCAGAGGGAAATTTTGTTAAAACTACACAAAGCACTAATCAGACCATACCTGGAATGCTGTGAACAGTTTGGGCCCCTTATTACTTGGCTGATCCTCGCTATGGAAAGACCATCTTATGGGAGGAGGTTGAGTAGGAGGCGACTTTTTTTTGAAACTTAAAGATTCCTAGGGAACTTGACAAGGTAGATATGGAAATATTGTTTCCTTGTGGGACAGTCTAAGACCAGAAGCATAATCTCAGGGTCAGGGTCAGTCACCCTTTTATCTTCGAGAGAAGGAGGAATTTCTTCTCTCAGAAGGACATGAGTTTGTGAAATTCTTTACTGCAGAGGGTGTAGAGGCTGCTTCATTAAATATATTCAAGGCTGAGATCAATCAATTTTTAATCAATGATGGGATCAAGGGTTAGCGGGACAAAGATAGCAAAGTGGAGATCAGGAATTTCAGATCAGCCACGATCTTACAGAATGGCATTAATGGGCTGAATGGCCTACTAGTGCTCCTACATCGTATTGTTAATTATCTTCTAGGACACCGATGCTTCCCCAATGCTGTGTTTTACAACAGAGGTAACAATCCTCAGCAGTACTAATTAATCTCCAACTTGTGTAACCTATTGGGGGAAGATAACAGAACTTTCATTTATTTGTCATAGAACAATGGAGACAAACACTAGAAAAAAACAAAACAAGATAATCTGGATACAGTCTTTTTCTTTATATGTGTGTATATACACACACACACACACACATTCCTCAATCCAACTCCTTTTGGCACTCATGTCTATCAAGGCAAGGCATGAAAAGTTCATTCTGTACAAATATTGGTTATGTGAGTGCATTCTGCTTTCCTGAAAATTACTTGTCCACAAACTCATTTCCTTAAAAATTCTTTATATATATATGTAGATATATCTCTCTTTGGCAAATATTTCTCCGTGAAAGAATTTAAAACAAGTTAGGATGAGCCTAAGTGCTTTACTGGGTTTAGTATAAAGTATATTAACAAAATGTCCATTTTCTTTCATTAATCCAATACTCTTTTCATATAGAAAATGTCTTCATATTTTCCACATGATTACAAAAATATTTAGCCCTTGTTTGTAATTTCCAATCCAGCATAGGAACCAGTACAAGAAATCCGAAACTCAAATTGACTGCATTTAAATAGACCTGTCACAATACAACAAATACTGGCTGTAAACAAGACTTGTATCCAAGAGGCAGGCAGGGAAAGGGTAAAGTAGGGCGGAAGGCAGCTTACGTGAGCCATAAACCTGCTGGTCTCTGTTCTGTAAAGTTGATGTAATTCCACAGAATAAGTCATGGATTCTGCCACCCAGTTGATCTAGTTCCTTCTGGGTTCTCTTTCTGAACTCTTGCTCCTACTATGTTTTGCCCCAGAGAATTGATGCAGGTGCAACACAGCAGTGTGTGATAGTACACGCCCCCACAGGAGGCACTAGCCGTTTAGTCTCTCCAACTAGCTGTTGGAACCAAGAATGATAACCATTGACCCTTTGAGCACTTATAGGTTCTGGAATGCACTGCTTGGAAGAGGCAGCTTCAACCAAGACATTCAAGGAGACAGTGGGTGATTGTTTCCATGTAAATAATGCAGGTTTACAGGAAACATGCAGGAGATTGGCACTAAGTCAAAATGCTGAGAGAGTCAGTGCAGACGCGATGGACTAAATGACTTCCTTCCGCACAGTAACAATTTGCGATTTCCAAGTTGTTCCTTGTTTAGTTCCTATTCTAGAATAACCCACATTCTGCAACAGAGGGAGGAAAGGGACAATAAAAGTTGGGGAGCTCTTGAAACTGTTTGATTGCCAAAGTGTCAAAACCAATATTCTTTTGTTTAAAAGCTCCAATTTCACACAACAGCACAATGCTGGAGTATGAAAGCGAGGTGGATTGGTGATAACAGATGCTGTAAAACTTTGCACACCATACCTGCATCAGGGAGATGGAGCAAGCAGTCTCTTTAAGGCAGGTGCAACAAGGGAAAAGGCTCCCTTTCTTCACAGCCCCAAACAAGAGGACCTGCTTTCATTGAAATCTGACCCTCCTATTTCACAGAAGGGGAATGTATGCATCAGACAAGATGGGGACAATAACTGCAGATAGCAATAACTGCAGATGCTGGAGTCAGAGACAACACAGTGTGGAGCTGGAGGAACACAGCAGGCCAGGCAGCATCAGAGGTGCAGGAAAGTTGACGTTTTGGCTAGTCTGGGTACTGGATTGCAAGTTAGGAGGACAGATCACAGGAAGTTGAGCTCTGCATCTAAGTATCTAATACCCAAAAGGAGCATTGTGTTCAACAGTGGTGACAGCTCAACATGTGTATATGTGTACACGTACATGTGTGTGTGCATGCGCGTGCGTGTCAGGTTTCTTTATCTGCAAGTTTAATGAAGTCGCAACACTTTCAAAAACAACAAAGAATGCTGATGGCTTTCCATAAGCATGGCAAGTACTGATTAGGCTGAAATATTACACAGCACAGATAAAGTGAACTGGAAAAAGCCAAGACTTATCAGCTGGTTGAAAGGAATTTCTGAAGGTACAAAATTTACAACAATATTAAGAAAATAAATTCTTTACTCAAAATGGTGATTTAACAACTTTCAGTGGAGGCATTAGGATTAGACGGGAGTTCTGGATGCTGGCTTACCCTTACCTCCAGTTACGTTCTCTGCTTCAGCCCTGGTATAGCCTCACCCACCTTTAGGGAGCGAGTTAGTGGAAAGTACTGTTAACACACAAATACACAACGGTACACAAGGGAGCACAAGTACAGGATCACAGGTTTATGGAGGCATCTCCTATTCAATAGGACCTGGCATGGGTTAGGGTGAAATATTTAATCATGATTAGCATATGGGACTGTCAGCCATTTTAAGAAGGACTTGGCAAATAATGCCCTCCCACTCAGTTTCCATGATGCGCTACATCATCTGACACCTTGGTACGCTCTCTTTCTCTCAGGTTGGGAACAGCGATGGGAGTTGGGGTGGAAAATGCTAAACCTTGTTCCAGTGGTCATCATGCCATGTGGCAGGCTTCTGATGGTCCTGGCAGTCATTTCCCTGACTGCCAATTTCATCTGTTCATCAGCTCCAGTGAAACTAGGTGAGTAAAAAATTCCTCTGCTTTGGGACACAGAAGCATATGAGGTGTCTGTGGGAGACAAGAGAGGACATGGATACAAAAGCCTGGCACAAGTTGCTGGTTGGGGGAAGGATGCACATCAATGAATGGACAGAGGGGACCCAGACCAACTTTGATACATTGCTCAAATCAGGCACACGCACTGACAGAGATGAAACGCTAAGGGAACAGTATAATAAGGGAAGGAGAGAAATTTTCATGTTATAGTCCCTCTTCCAACCTGAGAAATGATTCCCCTTTCAATAAAAAATATAGATTATGACAAGCTAACTTGCAGGTACAAAACCTGAAATGGGAATTAATCTAGGCTCCTTGCAACACATTCACTCACAACAACGTGGATCCAACACTGCCCAGGGTCAGAGGGGGTGAGCATGATGATTATCCGCTTCATACAGAACCTCACTAAAGGCCTCGATTACCTATTTCTGCAGCAGATCAGGAGCTGGCCCAGAAGGGAGGAATCACAAACATGGATTGTCAATAACGGCATACAGCTCTTGTGATAAAAAGGGAGCATTAAGGCTACATCCAACCACTGGCTGATGGATTAAATTTCTCTGGGGCTCAGGGAGAAGGGGGATCTCAGACAGTGAAATTAAAGTCAGCAATTCCGCACCGGCAAAGGATCAAGACGAAAAAAAAAAGCCAGCTTGAAGTGAAGGACTGTATTATTCCTGTATGGGCCGCACATCACACAGACTGGAAGCAACAGGCAGAGATCCCTGGGCGGAGCAGAGCTGAGGGGATGGTATCCATCCCAGGCGAGCTACTTTGTTTTAAAGTTGGCCTTTGTCCGCAGTGGGTAACCATCCTCGCTGCCTTTCTGTCGATTAACTGTGGTCCGCTCAGCATCAAGCCGTCGCTGGAGCCTGGCTGCTAACCTTCTGTCTTCCTCTTCCTGTTGGTTATGATCCAGGCTGCTGGCAGACATTATGTCACCATTGTTGACGTTCCACTTTGCCCGTTTGGTCCTCGACCCCGCTGTGTGCTTGGTCTTGTGGCGCCTCTTCTTGCCGTGGGAGGATGAATGTTTCGATCTGCTGTCGCTGCCGCTGATGTGTCCTCTGCTTTGCTTCGCCCCCATGTGGCTAGAAGATGAAGTGCTGGTGTTGTGCGGAGACCCTTTGCCCTGTTCCACAGTGGCTTGTTGGGTTGGGATCAGCTCCATGTGGCTGCTCCAACCCTCGGAAACCTCCTGGTAGGTTTCCGGCATTGTGCCGGACTCGGAGTAGTCCATGGAGCCGGCAGAGTTTAGCGAATCTAAGCATTCGAGCTTATGAAGGCCAGGGGAGCATGAAGCTGAAGATAATTCCATCCCAGCAATCTCGCTCCATTCCCCCAGCCTGCCAGCAGCATCCTCACCCTCATCCTCCGAAATCAGGGTGCCCTTGGAGGCTACCATCTCCTCATGGCGCTCCTGCAGAATCTGGCCCCACTTCTGCAGGAGATTGGGGTTCACGTCATAAGTGGTGGTAGCAGCGGCTGGCTTGTAGAAACCACAGCCGAGGTTTCGGGGTGTCGATTTGACAATCTTGGGTTTCATGACCCTGCCATCTGGCAGCTTCTTGGGAGGAGTGCAGGGTGAACAGCTGATGGGCTTGAAGTGATTGAATTCCCCGGAGATACTGTCATTGCTGTCGGGGCTGGCTGACCGCTCCCTCTTGGCCGGGCATGATGGCACTGGGTCATTTGCAGGGCGTTTTTCCGAGCTCAGGTTTGGGGCAGAGTTGGAGCGACTGTTTTCAGAGGATGACAGGACGTTGATAACATTGTTGGTAATGAGGGAACCTGCAGAAACCAAAGCTGTCTGCAAAGAAAAAAGAGAGAGAGATTGGAGAGGATCCACTGCAAATAAAATCAGAAAATGTGCATCTGGAAACTGCACCATCTCAATGATAGACTGGCTGAAACATCATCACATAGAACAAACAGTAAGAATCCTATCGAGTCAATTCAGAAGAAATGAGGTCACAGAGAGAGGAATAGAGAAACATATGAAGATAGAAGAGTGACAAAAGTAGACCACTGAGCATGCTCCACCATTCAATAAGATCATGACTGATCTCTCTGTTTCGAATTCCACTTTTCCACTTACATTACATACATTATAGTCTGACGAAGAGGGCTGGGAGAGGTCAACATGGAGGGTAAACAATACAGACCAACTGTCCGTATATCCTAAGTAGCCACAGGAAACACGATGTAAATCAATGGCACTCAAAGATATATTAGTGTTGGTATACCAGGGATATGAAGGTTAAATCATGAGGGCTGCTCATTTAGACCAGACTTGCATCCCCTTGAGTTTAGAAGATCAAGCTCAGATCCAATCAAAATAATAAGATCATAAGAAATGGAAACAGGAGTAGACCATTCAGCCCCTGAAGGCTGCTCTGCCATTAAATAGGATCATGGCTGATCCAAGGTTCCTCACATCTACTTTCCTGCCCTTTCTCCGTAACCCTTGATTCCTCTATTGATCAAGAACCTATCTCAGTTTTAAATATACACCTACCAGTAATTTCTTTGTTTGTTATTTCTAATCTCCATCCAGATGATCCTGCATTTTGATTCTTCAAATCAAGGTCATTCAAGCAGTACATACAGGGTCCTACTTGGGGAGAGGTAAAACCCAACCTACTTTTGGGAAATAGGGCAGGACAGGTGACTGAGGTGACAGTGGTGAGGCATTTTGGCACCAGGGACCACAGTGCTATTAATTTTAACATAGTTATGGAGAAGGACAAAACTGGTCCACAGATTCAAATTCGAATCTGGGGCAAGGCGAATTTTGATGGAATTAGACAGGAACTTGCAGGGGTTGATTGGAATAGTTTGTTTGCAAACAAAGGGACCTCTAGCAAGTGGGAGGCCTTTAAAAGTGTGATGGCTAGAGTTCAATGTCAACATGCTCCTGCGAGAGTGAAGGACAAGGCTGGCAGGAGTAGGGAACCTTGGATGACAAGAGATATTGAGGCTTTGACCAGAAAAAAGGAGGCATGGCTCAGGTACAGGCAGCTGGGATCAAGGGAATCCCTGGAGGTATATAAGGGATACAGGGGTTTACTGAAGAAGGAAATCGAGGAAGGCGAGAAAGGGGCATGAGATAGCTTTGGCTGAGAAGATTAGGGTGAATTCAAAGAGATTCTTTAAGTATTTTAAAGGAAAAAGAATAAGTAGAGAGATAATAGGACCCCTCAAAGACAAAAATGGACATGTATGTGTGGAACTGCAGGAGATGGGCGACGTCCTAAATGAATATTTCTCCTGTGTTTTCCGTGGAGAAAGACATGAAGACTTGGGAACTTGGGGAAGTTATTGGCGATATCTTGGGGACAGTCCATATCACAGTAGCGGTGGTGTTGGAAGTATTAGAATGTATAAATCTCCGGATCCTGATCAGATATATCCAAGAACCCCTCAAGAGGCTAGAGAAGAAATTGCAAGGGCCCTGGCTGATATATTTGCATCATCGTTAGCCACGGGTGAGGTCCTGGAAGACTGGAGAGTAGTGAATGTTGTGCACTTATTCAAGAAGGGCAACAAAGAAAAACCAGGGAATTATAGACCAGTAAGACTTACATCTGTGGTAGGTAACTTATTTGAGAAAATTCTGAGGGATAAGATATACATGCATTTCGAAAGACACGGTTTGATTAGTTTGATCAGTATGGCTTCGTGCGTGGGAGATCATGCCTCACAAATTTGCTAGAGCTCTTTGAAGAAGTGACCAGGAAGGTTGATGAGGGCAGGGTGGTAGACATAGTCTAAATGGATTTCAGTAACGCCTTGGATAAGGTTCCACATGGTAGGCTGCTCTGGAAGGTTAGATCGCATGGAATCCAGGGAGAGCTGGCAAATTGGATACACAATTGGTTTGATGGTAGTAAGCAGAGGGTAATAGTGGAATGATGCTTGTCAGACTGGAGACCAGTGACTAACGGTGTGCCTCGGGGGTCGGTGTTGAGCCCGTTGCTGTTTGTAATCTATATCAATGATTTGGATGAGAATGTACAAGGCATGATTGATAAGTTTGCGGATGACACTAAAATAGGTAGCATCGTGGACAGTAAGGAAAGTTATCAGAAATAGCAGCAGGACCTTGATCAGCTGGGGAAGTGAACAGAGAAATGGCAAATGGAGTTTAATATAGATAAGTCAGAGGTGTTGCATTTTGGAAAATCAAATCAGGGTAGGAGTTTCATGGGAATGGTAGGGGCATAAGGAGTGTAGTGGAACAGAGGGACCTTGGAGTTCAGGTGCGTGGTTCTCTGAAAGTGGAGTCACACGTAGAAAGGGCAATTAAGGCAGCTTTTGGTACACTGGTTTGATCAGTCAGGGTATTGAGTACAGAAGTTGGGAAGTTATGTTGCAGTTCTGCAGGACATTGGTGAGGCCACACTTGGAGTACTGTGTTCACTTTTGGTCACCTTGCTATTAGACTGGAAAGGGTGCGGAAGCGATTTACGAGGATGTTGTCAGGACTCAAGGGACAAGTTCAGACTGTTTAGAGTGTAGGAGACTGAGGGGGTACTTATAGAAGTGTATAAAGTCATGAGAAGCATGGATAGGGTGAATGCACTCAGTCTTTTTCCCACGGTTGGGTAATCGAGGACGAGAGGGCATCAGTTTAAGGTAAGAGGGGAAAGAATACATGGTAACCTGAGAGAGCAACTGTTTTTTTTTTTTACAGAGAGGGTGGTACGAATATGGAATGAGCTGTCCGCGGAAGTGGTTGAGGTGGGTACATTAACAACATTTAAAAAGCATTTGGACAAATACATGCTTAAGAAAAGTTTAGAAGGATATGGGCCAAATGCAGAGAAATAGGATTAGCACGGATGGACATTTTGGTTGGCATGAACCAGTTTGGGCCGAAAGGGCCTGTCTCCATGCTGTAGGGCTCTATGACTCTATTTCTCACTACTGTAATGATCTTATTCTTTATTAACAACTCCACCTCCTTATCCTTCCTTCCTATCCTTCTGAAATGTCAAATGCCTTGAACATTCAGATCCTGGTCACCTTGCAACTGCTACCATATATTCATTTATGCTATGAATTCATTCTCCTTGCTACGCATGCAGCATGCATTCAGATAGAGAGCCTGTAATATGTCTTTTTACCTCTTAAGTGACCTATTGACCCACAACCTAAAAATGTAATTATTCCACCCATAGGCAAATCCTGAGCAAACCAATACGATCCCTTCTCAAGTCATCCTTCTATCATAGCGGTAATGTCATTAGATTAATAATTCAGAGCCTCCTGGGACTTGAGTTCAAATCCCACCATGGCAGCTATACCTCCCTGATTTAAAATCAATTGATAAATCTGGAATTGAAAGTTACTCTCGGTGACGGTGACCGTGAAAACTACCTGTGATCATTGCAAAAACCCAGCTGGCTCATTAACGTCCTTTAGGGGAGGCAATCTGCCATCCTTACCTGGTCTGTACTACACGTGACTCCAGACCTTCAACTTTCCTTCAGTGTCACTGGGTCAAAATCCTAGATCTCCATCTCTAATGATATTCCGCACGTACCTTCATCAAATGGACTGCAGTGGTTCAAGATGGGGGCTCAACACTACCTTCTCAAGGGTAACTAGGGATAGGCAATAAATGCTGACTCAACTAATGATGTCCACATTCAGTAAATGAATTAAAAAAATCCAGAGCAATGTGGTTGACTCTAAATAACCCTCTGAAATGGTCTAGCAAGCCACTCAGTTCAAGGGGAAACTAGGGATTTGCCTAATACCCATTTACCATTTTTGCCTAATCTGACCTTATTTGTTGGTACATTCCTATACGTGCACATGCTGCCCCTTGCTGTCACACTCTGGCAGTTTCAAATCAGACTGAAAACTGAAAGAAAAGCAGCACTGCCTTAAAATTAGAGACAAACCATCCAGAGGTGACGTCAGGAAGAATTTCTTCACATAAGGGTAGTGGAAAACCAGAAAGCTCTCCCCAGTGAAACCTTTGGATGCTGGGGAACAAGTGGAGCTTTCAAGCTTGAGAATGATAGATTTTTGTTAGGGAGGGATGTATTACGTTAGTGACATCCACAACCCATTAAAGAATAATAAAGTTGAAGGGAACAAATCAGACAGTGAAATTCCTTGTGCATAAGGAACTGTATAATGTTTCCAAATGATTAGCAATTGTTTCAGCACATAAAGGAAGTCAGTCATGTAGCAGGTTACGAGGTCAGCCCAGTCAATGCAGCCCTGCTGAAACCACAAATACCTTGGTTCTGCTGTCAGTGCGAGGTGTCCCTCTTCGGTTCTGGTTGTTTTCTACTGGTGTGCTCCAACTTCGATTCTCCTCCTCGATGCTCAGCATACTGTAACAAGAAGCCAGGGTCACTTCAACAACAACAACATTTACAGAGCTCCTTGAAAGTAGCATAATTTCCTGAGAGACAGTAAGAACTGCCAATGCTGGAGTCTGAGGTAATAGTGTGGAGCTGGAGGAACACAGCAGGCCAGGCAGCGTCAGAGGAGCAGGAAAGCTGACATTTCAGGTCAGGACCCTTCTTCAGAAAATGATAGATAACTTTCTGAGGTACCTTACAGGATTGATTTTCAAACACAAGTCACCAGGTCACTCAGGAGATATCAGGCACAGGTGATGGTCAAAGAAACGTGTTTTAAGGAGGGTCTTAAATGGAGAAGAAAGAAGTGGAGAGGTATAGGTAGTGAATTCCAGAGCATAAGGATCCCAGGCAGTAAAGGCATGGCTACCAATGGTGGACTGATTAAAATCAGGCTTTCCCAAGAGCCAAGATTTATAGGAGCACAGATCTCAGAGGGTTGGAAGGCTGGAGGAGGTTACGAAGAGAGAGGGAGGAGGAACATGGAGGGATTTGAGCATTTCAAAATGGTGTTGTTGCTGGACCAGGAGCTGAGACAGTTGACAAGAGAATAGATTAGAATAATGCACAGAGATAGTGAGTGAATGGAATTCAGTGCGAGTTCAAGGACAGCAAGGGCTGCTCCTTCATTAAAACCACTCTCTTGGCCAAGAGACCAAAGACTAATTACCTTGCAAATCGACCAGATGAACTGGCACTCAGCTTGTTGTTGGCTGCTAAACCCCATTGCCGCGTAGTCATATGTTTCACTGGCTCCTCATTCTCTGAATCAGACATGTTGTCAGTAGCCTGGAGAAGAACATGAATATTTAATCTCATATCGCACTGAAGGAACAGTGGAGCTTCATCCTAAAACATCCGATAACTCCTGGGGGTAACAGATTCACCAGAAGATAGTTTCATTTGTAAATTGGCCTGTTCAGTGCCAATCTATCCCTTCAGGCTCCTACTGCCTGTGTAGCACCGATGGCCAGCACTGAGAAAATGCTGCATTATCCAAGGGCAAGCAATGTGGGAGCGCTGCGTTGTCAGAGTTACTACTCGTGGGAGTGCCATGCTGTCAGAAGTTCAGATCAAGGGAACATCACATTGACAACTGTGATTTATTTTGAATGGAGCACTGAACTTGGGCTCTTACTGCCTTCTTACAATGGACAGACCCCAAAGCATATTAAGAAAAATGGGGCAGCTCTCCCCAATGCCTTCGATCATTAGTGCTAAAAAAAAAAAAAATCATCTGGGCTTGCCACTTGCTTGCTGTAGTGCGCAAGATGTCCAGCGATGATATTTGTCCGTGGGCAGCATCACACCAAGATTACCCGGACGTTGATCCCCTTACTAATTATGGGGCATTGATTACTCACCACTGCAAGGGAGCAGTAAATCACAGAAATGAGAGAGCTCAGAAGGAGGCCATTCACCCCATCTGCATCAATCTACGAACATTTTGACTCAGTGCAAAACCCTTGCCTTTTCCCAATAACACTGCATTTAGTTTTTATTGAAATAATTATCTAATACACTCTTGAATGCTTCAATCGAACCTGCCTCCACCACATATTCAGGCAGTCTGTTCCAGACTCAAACTACTTGCTGTGTGAAAAAAAGATTTTTCTCACCACACACTTGCTTCTTGCAAAACACTTCAAAACTGTGCCCTCTTGTTCTCTATCCATTTACAATGGGAGCAGTTCCTCAATACCTACTCTGTCCAGACCAATCATGACTTTAAAAACCTCTATCAAATCTCCCCTCAGCTTTCACCTCACCAAGGAAAAAAGTCCCAACTTCTTCAATGTTTACTCATAACTAAAGTATCTCATCCCCGGACCCACTTTTGTAAGCCACTTCTGCATTTTCTTCAAGCATTCACATTCTTCCAAAATAGTGATGCCCAGAAATACAGGCAATTCTCCAATATCCAATGTAAGTTCAGCATAACCTCTTTGCTCTTGTACTCTATGAAAGCTCAGGATACAGTATGCCTTATTTTTCTAAATTCATTCCTGGGATGCGTACGTCACTGGCTGGGCCCAGCATTCACTGCCCGTCCCTGGTTGCCCTTGAGAAGGTGACGCTGCAGTCCACCTCCTGTGGGTTGACCCACAATGCCCGTAGGGAGGGAATTCCAGGCTTTTGACCCAGCGACAGTGAAGGAACAGTGATATATTTCCAAGTCAGGATAGTGAGTGGCTTCAAGGAGAACTTCCGGGGGCAGTGTTCCCAAGTGTCTGCTGCCCTTGTCCTTCTAGGTGGAAGTGGTCATGAGTTTGGAAGGTGCTGTGAGAGGATCTTTGGTGATTTTCTGCTGTTACTGACCGTCGGTGGTGGAGGGAGTGGATGCTTGTGGATGTAGTGCCAATACAGTGGGCTGCTTTGTCCTGGATGGTGTCAATCTTCTTGGAGTGTTGTTGGGGCTGCACCCATCCAGACAAGTGGGGAGTATTCCATCACACTCCTGACTTGTGCCTTGTAGAAGGTGGGTCAGGGCTGGGGAGTCAGGAGGTGAGTTACTTGCCGCAGCACCCTTCTGGTTCCGGAGGTCACTGCTTCGTACAGGCGCAGGTGACAGAGGCAGTGGATGAGGTTACTGTAGTGGTTAAAGAACGCAGATCAGCACCACCTTCTACAGGGCAACTGGCAAAAGGCATATTCTGAGAATGAATTTTTAAAAACTATTATATGGTATAAAAGACTCAAAACTTTAGATGGCAGGGGTCGTGGGTTTAGAAGGTGCTGTCCAAGGATAAGAGCATCAGATACATGGGAACACATCACCTGCAAAGTCCCCCCCCCCCCCCCCCCCACCCTGACTCAGAAATTTTTAAAAGAAATTCATTCACGGGATGAGGGCGTCACTGGCTAGGCCAGCATTTACTGCCCATCCCTAATTGCCCAGAGGGCAGTTTAAGAGTGAACCATATAACTTAGAGTCTGGGGTTATATGTTGACCAGACCAGGTAAGGCTGGCAGTTTCCTTTTCTAAAGGACATTAGTGAACCAGATGTTTTGTTGCAACAATCGTCAATTGATTCATGGTCATCATTAGACTTTTAATCTCAAGATTTTTTTTTTTAATGAATGCAAATTCCACCACCTACCATGGTAAGATTCAAACCTGGATAACCAGCATATCACCTGGGTCTCTGGATTCATAGTCCAGCGATAATATTACGCAGCCATCGCTTCCCCGACTATATCACCGTTGCCTGGCCAAAATCCTGGTATTCCCCCCCAGTGGCATTGTCAGCATACAGCACATGGACTGCAGCAGTTTAAGAAGGCAGCTCACCACCACCTTCTCAAGCGGCGAATTGGAACGGCCTATAAACGCTGTCCCAGGCAGGAATGCCAACATCCCACAAGTGAACAAAAACAATTGGATGGTTCTGTACTACACAGCTGCCATTGTATTTTCTGTTAAACACGAAAGAGCCTTCCTCATCCAGCAGCAGCTGCTCAGACATGCAGCCTGACCACTTTCTCCATGTGCTTTCCCCAACAGAAACAGGCAGCTCAGAGAATAAGTCAACAGTTCACTGTGAGTGCATATTATGAGTGAGAGGGAAGGAGCAGGGAGTGAACATCAAGGGGCAAGGAAGCAATGGTGATGGAGGTGCTAGGGCAGGAGCTAAAGGATTAAGAGGCAGGGAAGGATAGAATGGAAGGCAAGGATAGAAGGAGATAAAAAGATAGCAAGGGAAATGAGAAAGAGGAAAAGACAAAGGAGAATTTATAAACACTCACAAAATCTTGACCCCATTTTCTTGCCAGCTCCTCATCCCTCTTCACCTGCTCCATGATTGTTTTCTTTTTTTCCATTTGTTGCTTCTCGTGTTCCCCCTCAGCCAGAATAATCTGAATTATTTCCGCCGTGACCGACTCATCATCTTCCTTCAAGCTCTCCTTCTCCGGCTCGTACTGGAGACGGGAAATGTTGTAATCTCAGTCTCAGTGAACCCACTACACCCTCTCCACCCCACCCTGCATGCAAGTAATGGGGGAAGCTGGATAATTGGACATGAGCAGGGGACATTAGCATTACAGTACCCACAGCCATTACTACCAAAACTGCTTCAATAGTAAGGATTTGTAAATTATACAGCAACTTTAACAGGATGAAACTTCCCATAGTGCTTCACTGGAGTGTAAGCATTTGACAATGTGAGGAGATACTAGGATTTGGTTGACTAACAACTTAACCAAAAGGCAGACAGGTTCAGCGAGGCAATTCCAGAGATCAGGCCTCAGGAAGGTGAAGGCACAGCTGCCCCTGGTGCAGTAATTACACTAGTAGGCAGGAAAGGGGCAATGGGACACAGAACAATACAGCACAGAATGCTCAAGAAGCCAGATTTGGAAGAGCAGAGAGATTTCGTTGTGGCCAACATATCCTCCCATTTGGTTTTAGAGGGCATAAATAATTTAAATCCTGTGCAGAGCTGCACACGGGTGTGAAACTTAAAAACTAACTTGAGCAAAAATTTTCAGGATGCCACTTGGCTGCGCAGCTTAGAAAGAAGACTGGTTTTGGAACTGGGTTACGGAAGTAGAAAGGGAGTAGGGGCAAGGCCACAGATTTAACTCCCCAATGTAGAGATTTATAATTTACTTTCAGAGTCATGACTCCGCTAGTTCCCTCTCTGCAGAAGCAGAGTTGGAGAGTTTGATCTACTGTCTTTTTGTTTCATTCACTCCCCTGCAGTGTTTAGTCTGACTGTTCTCATTCGAGAAGGGCAAAACTAAATTATTAACAGAAGGAATCTCCAGAATTTCCCAGCTTGGACCTAGAGGGTGGAACCTCAGCAAATTACTCTGATACAGATGGGATATTACATGGAGGGCCCTGCCTCACTGTCTTGCTGTATGTAGAAGATTCCAGGACATGATTCAAAAAATCACGTAGCCGTGCCTACTTGGTCATTGCACTACCTTGTCTAATTTCTCACAGAATCATTAAACAAGTTATTTCATCACTGTGGTGGGAAGTTATTGTGTGGAGAATGGCTGCAGCATTCTCCTGCATAAGGGAGAAATCACTGGCTCCGCTTTGAAATAGTAGCCATGGAATTTTGAATATCCACCCAAGACGGCAGACAGATTTCAGTTAAAAGTGGCTCTTCTTCTAACTTGACCCTCTGATAGCAAGGTGTTCCTTCATCCCTGACCCTCCAATGGTGCGGCATTCCCGCAGCCCTGACAGAATGGTGCACCATCATAGCAGATTCCCTGAAGGACAGTGCAGCACTCCGAGTAGTGATTCTTCAATAACATAGCACTCCGTCATGCTGATCCTCAAACAGTGCATTCACTCCTGTAGTACGGTCTGCCAACAGTACTCCGCACTCCCTTGATGCCAACCCTCTGACAACTGCCGCGCTCCCTTGGCACAGACCCTCCGACAGTGCGGTGATCCCCCAGTATTGACCCTCTGACAGTGTGGCGTCTCCTCAGTGCTGATCCTCAGAAGCATGCTAATCTTGGCCTCATTCCAAGAGTGTCAGGGACATGCAAATACTTGTTTCCAAAAGATATGAGCCCAGGAGCTGGGCTGGGACAGTCAGTAAAGATGGTATTGCTCTGGATGCGTCCAGATCTGTGCCACAGAAGGACGGTATTCCAAATTTCATGAGTTCACTCTGCTGTGTATCTGGACCCCAAGTGCCCTTAACTGTATATCCCACAATACACAGAGCTGAAAGTTTGTCTTGAAATTTCCAACTGACCCCCAGGGATCCGCATTTCCAATCCCTTTTGTGTGAGGAAGTGCTTCCTGACAGCCTACGACTATTTTGAAGGTTCTGCTTCTTGTTCGGGACTCTGTCCATCCATCCACTGAGGAAACAGTTTCTATCTACACCACCAAATTCATGAATCATTTCAAATAGAAAACCACTTAAACCCCTGAACTGAAAGGAAAACAGGCAAAGTTCATGTAAGCGGAGTTTGCAATTTAACCCTGAAAAGGCCAGGCAGCTTTCTGGTGAACTCATGCCACAAAGGCAATGTGGGATATCCTTCCTGAGGTTTAGCACAATTGAGTGCAGTCACTTTAGATGTCTTCCACAATTGATACATTCTTTCACTGCTTGTATATCTGCCACAAAGGGCCTTCATTCTATTAGCAGTTTGGATTGATTGATTTTTCACAGATTAATTTTTAGGGATTTGACTACTTGACCTCCGATAATCCCTATATTATTCAAGACTCCGATCAGTGATTTGCGCTGGGGGAGCGTGAGGGGCAGGGTGCGTGCAGACTGGACTGAACCACCAAAATCAAACAGCTCATTCAGCATCACATGGTAAACAGCATCTTAGTGGTGAGCCACCTTCTTGAACTTCTGAAGTCTGTATGATATAGGGACACCTACAGCGCTCAGAAGGAGCAATTTGCATGATTTTAACCCAGCAACAGTAAAGGACCAGCAAAATATTTCAGGATGGTGAGTAGCTTGTGTAAAACTTACAGGTGGTGGTGTTCCCATATATCTGCTGCCCTTATCCTTCTAGATGGCAGTACTGGGCTTGGAAGGCGCTAAGGAGCCTTGCTAAGTTGCTGCAGTGCATCTTTTAGAGGCTTCCTGACACAAAAGGGAGTGGAAATGTGGATCTCTGGGGGTCAATTGGAAATTTCAAGACAAATTTTCAGGTCTGAGTATTCCAGGATATATCGTTAAGGACAGAGTCCAGATACACATCAGGGTGAACTCTCAAAAGTTGGAATGCCCTCGTTCCATGGCACAGACCCAGACACATCCACGGCAATATCACGACTGTCCCAGCCCAGCTCCTGGGCTCCACACTGTTGTCACTGTGCAGTGGTCAGGGAGTGCATGTTGAAGGTGGTGGATAAAGGTGCCAATCAAGTGGGCCCTTTATCCTGGATGGTGTCAACCTTCTTGAGCATTGTTGGAGCTGTGCTCATCCAGACAAGTGGGGGGTATTTCGTACACTCTGACTTATGCCTTGCAGACAGCCAGGAGGTTAAGTTACATTCTGAGAATATTCAGCCTCTGCCACGTCCTTTTGGCACAGGATTTATATGACTAATCCAGTTCAGTTTCTGGTTAATAGTAATCACTAGAATGTTAATGGCAGAAATTCAATAGTATTATCACAGAATGTCAAGAGGTGATGTTTAGATTCTCTCATGGAGACAGCTACTGATGGCTGTAATGTCTGGAGGCCTACTGCTTGGTAGGACTATTGGAGGAGGCAAGCACAAATAAAAAGCTCAGCTTGTGAGAAGAGAGCCCAGAGAAAACAGAAACTAGTGACTACTGCACCTTCTCAGTCCAATGTCTTCCTCTGCAGCAAATGCGGCAAAGATTGCCAATGGCAGAGTGGGGTTCAGGAGCCCCAGAAGATGATGCTGAAAGAGTTGACAACCACAGTTCAACCAGCATCTAATAAAAAGGAGGGCTGCCACATACTACATTGAGATCACCACTGACTGGCACTTGTGTGACATGAACAGAATTTACTCATGAGCTCAGGCCTGGAACACAACCGTAGAACATGCGTTTCCTCCAAAGCGACATCAGCAACAAATGGTTACGGTGCAACTTATTCCAGGGAGACAGTGAGGTTATTCTCCAGCCCACGAACCCCTGCCCATTCCCCTCCTCATTCTAAAAACAATTGACTGAAGTAACTGAAGTGACAGAGGACAGTACCTGTCGGAGTTGGTTCTCAAGCCCCTCCCGGACATCACCTGCTTTACTCAGCACCAGAGGAGCACGGAACACTGGCTCTGTAAGCACAAAACAAAACAGAAACTCACTAAAGGCAAACCCAACTCCAATCAGATGAGGTTTCAGAAGTAGCCAATACCTTTTGTCCATCAAGTTCTGATAATCAAAGAGCCATATAGCACTGGAGAAGTCATCCAGCCCATTCGACCTGTGCTGATCCTTTAGTAGAACTATTTAATTAGTCTCACTACTCCCAGTTTTTTTCCCTCTACAGCCTGGAAATTTCCCCATCCATTCTTACTGAAAAAAAAAAGACATGTCGTCAAAGCTTTTCATTTTGCCCTCATCAGGACAATTTGCAGGATCACCAGTGTAAAGAGGGAACAAAATCTTTAAACTGTATCAGAATAAGTACTAATTAGAACATAGAACATAGAATAGTACAGCACAGTACAGGCCCTTCGGCCCACGATGTTGTGCTGAACTTCTACCCTAATCCTAAGGTCTATCTAACTTTCACCCCTACCTTATACTATCATCCATATGCCTAATAGCCGCTTAAATGCCCCTAAAGAGGCCGACTCCACTACCCTCTCGGCAATGCATTCCACGCCCCCTACCCTCTCGGCAATGCATTCCACGCCCCTACCACACTGAGTAAAGAACCTACCTCTGACATCTCCCCTATATCTACCTCCACTCACTTTAAAACTATGCCCCCTCGTAATAGCTACCTCCACCCTAGGAAAAAGTCTCTGGCTGTCTACTCTATCTACACCTCTGATCATTTTGTACACCTCCATCAAGTCACCGGTCATCCTTCGTCGTTCTAATGAGAAAAGCCCTAGCTCTCTCAACCTTTTCTCGTAAGACCTTCCCTCCATTCCAGGCAACATCCTGCTAAATCTCCTCTGCACCTTTTCCAACGCCTCCACATCTTTCCTGCAATGGGGCGACCAGAACTGGACACAATACTCCAGATGTGGCCGAACCAGGCTTTTGTATAGCTGGAGTATAACTTCACGGCTTTTGAACTCAATCCCTCTATTAATGAAAGCTAACACACCATACGCCTTCTTAACAACTCTATCCACCTGGGTGGCAGCTTTCAGGGAACTGTGAACATGAACCCCAAGATCCCTCTGCTCCCCCACACTGCCAAGAATCTTTCCATTAACCCTGTATTCTGCTTTCAAGTTTGTCTTTCCAAAGTGAATCACCTCACACTTTCCAGGGTTAAACTCCATCTGCCACTTCTCAGCCCAGCTCTGCATCCTATCAATGTCCCTTTAGAACAGCCCTCCACACTGTCCACAATGCGACCCACCTTCATATCGTCAGCGAATTTGCTAATCCACCCTTCCACTCCTTCATCCAAATCATTTACAAAAATCACAAATAGAAGAGGACCCAGGAGAGATCCTTGTGGTACACCACTTGTAACTGAGCACCACGCTGAATATTTTCCGTCCACTACCACCCTTTGTCTTCTAAGGGTCAGCCAAATCTGAATCCAATCTGCCACATTCCCCCATCCCATGCCTCCTTACCTTCTGCATGAGCCTACCATGGGGAACCTTATCAAACGCCTTACTTAAATCCATGTATACCACATCCACTGCTCCACCTTCATCCATGTGTTTGGTCACCTCTTCAAAGAATTCAATAAGGTTTGTGAGGCATGATCTACCCCTCACAAATCCATGCTGACTATCACAAATCAAACTGTGCCTTTCCAAGTGATCATAAATCCTATCTCTCAGAGCCCTTTCCAATAATTTGCCCACCACTGACGTAAGACTAACTGGCCTGTAATTTCCAGGGTTATCCCTATTCCCTTTTTTGAACAAGGGGATGACGTTTGCCTCTCTCCAATCTTGAAATCCAGCATGAAACTAGAAGATTGGGAAAACTTTAAAGGTCAACAGAAAACCACAAAAAGAGCTATAAAGAAAAGTAAGATAGAACTTGAGAAAAAACTAGCACAGAATATAAAGACAGATAGCAAAAGTTTCTATAAATATATAAAACGAAGAAGAGTAGCTAAAGTAAACATTGGCCCTTTAGAGGATGAGAAGGGGAATTTAGTTATGGGATATGATGAAATGGCCGAGGCATTGAACGGGTATTTTGTATCGGTCTTCACAGTGGAGGACACTAATAACATGCCAGTAATTGACAAAGACATGAAGGTAGGTGAGGACCTGGAAACAATCATTATTACGGAAGAGTTGGGCAAGCTAATGGAGCTAAGGATTGATAAGTCTCCTGGCCCTGATGGAATGCATCTCAGGGTTCTAAAAGAGATGGCGGGAGAAATAGCAGGTGCACTGGCGGTAATTTTCCAAAATTCGCTGGACTCTGGGGCAGTCCCAGCAGATTAGAAAACAGCAAATGTGACGCCAATGTTTAAAAAGGGAAGTACACAAAAGATGGGGAATTATAGACTGGTTAGCTTAACCTCTGTAGTGGGGAAGATGCTCAAGTCTATTATCAAGGAAGAAATAGCAAGGCATCTTGATAGAAATTGTCCTGTTGGGCAGACGCAGCATGGGTTCATGAAGGGCAGGTCATGCTTGACAAATCTTTTGGAATTCTATGAAGACATTACGAGCAAGGTGGACAATGGGGACCCAATGGATGTGGTGTACCTAGATTTCCAAAAGGCCTTCGACAAGGTGCCGCACAAGAGGCTACTGCATAAGATAAGGATGCATGGCGTTAAGGATAAAGTATTAGCATGGATAGAGGATTGGTTGACTAACAGGAAGCAAAGAGTGGGGATAAATGAGTGCTATTCTAGCTGGCAGTCAGTGACTAGTGGTGTGCCTCAGGGATCGGTGTTGGGACCGCAATTATTTACAATTTATATAGATGATTTGGAGTTGGGGACCACACGTAGGGTGTCAAATTTTGCAGATGACACCAAGATGAGTGGCAGAGCAAAGTGTGCAGAGGACTGTGAAACTTTGCAGAGGAACACAGATACATAGAGTGAGTGGGCAAAGATCTGGCAGATGGAATACAATGTAAATAAATGTGAAGTCATACATTTTGGTAGGAGTAATAGTAAAAAGGATTATTACTTGAATGGTAAAAAGTTGCAGCATGCTGCTATGCAGAGGGACCTGGGTGTCCTTGTGCATGAATCACAGAAGGTAGGTCTGCAGGTACAACAAGTAATTAGGAAGGCAAATGGAATTTTGTCCTTCATTGCTAAAGGGACTGAGATTAAAAGCAGAGAGGTTATGTTGCAGCTATACAAGGTGCTGGTGAGGCCACACCTGGAGCACTGTGTGCAGTTTTGGTCTCCTTACTTGAGAAAGGATGGAGGGGGTGCAAAGAAGGTTCACTAGGTTGATTCCGGAGTTGAGGGGGTTGGCTTATGAGGAGATACTGAGTAGATTGGGATTATATTCATTGGAATTCAGAAGATTGAGGGGGGATCTTATAGAAACATATAAAATTATGAAGGGAATGGATAAGATAGAAGTAGAGAGGATGCTTCCACTGGCAGGTGAAGCTAGGACAAGAGGGCATAGCCTCAAGATTAGAGGGAGCAGATTTAGGACTGAATTGAGAAGGAACTTCTTCACCCAGAGGGTTGTTAATCTATGGAATTCCTTGCCCAGTGAAGTAGTTGACGCTACTTCAGTAAACATTTTTAAAGGTAAGATAGATTTTTTTTGTACAATAAAGGAATTAAGGGATACAGTGAGAACGCGGGTAAGTGGATCTGAGTCCACGAAAAGATCAGCCATGATCTTAATGGATGGCGGAGCAGGCTCGAAGGGCCGGACGGCCTACTCCTGCTCCTAGTTCTTATGTTCTTCCGGCACTATACCCGTGGACAGTGAGGACAAAAAGATCATCACCAAAGGTTCTGCGATCTCTTCCCTTGCTTCCCATAGAATCCTTGGATAAATCCCATCAGGCCTGGGGGACTTGTCTATCTTCAACTTCCTCAAAATTCCTAGCACATCTTCCTTACTAACATCGACATCAATTGGTTGGCGAGTGAACTCTGATTGGTAGAGGCATTGCCATGAAGAATGCAATGTTGTTCTCCTTTACTTAGAATTTCTTGCAAATTGTTCTGAGTGCAAGATGAAAAGATTTTATCAAGTGTGCCTCTTTTCAGCAATACTCAAGTTCCAAACTACTAAACTAACGTAGAAATTATTGAATCAGCTTTCAGGCCTCATACTTGCACTCATCCTTTCACCAATTATCTTCAGTCTGTGTCCTCTGGTTACCAGCCCTCTCCCCAGAAGAAATCATTACTCCCTATTTTCTCTGGTCCCTCATAATTTGGAATTCAGACAAGGTTCTACAACGAGAGAAGATGTGTGTTGTGACTGTGAATGTAAATAGCAAACACTTTATTCTCAGCCTCTGCACCTGGCTACGTTCTGGACTCAATTTGCCTTTAGAACATGGAGGCTTGAAATGATTGACATAACAGTGAGGGGAACAGACCTGGTAAGTAAGGCTATAAGGTTTATTGAATCACACAGTACTAAAGAAGTCCTTCAGCCCTTCTCTATTGCCAAGGTTCATAGTTGTTCAGTTCACACTGCTTGACTGAGTCAAAAGTTAAGATTTAGAGCACAGGAGGCCATTCATCCCATCATGCCTGTGTCAGCTGCTAAACAGCCTAACGCTATGCCCAAGCACTGGGTTGTGACCTGAAACACATCACATATGGAAATCTGAATGGCACAGATGCAGAGACATGTTGTTAACGCTTTTCATCTTGCACTCAACAGGAAAAATGCAAGAATGCCAAATTTCATCAATCTCAACAACTTATTCTGGAGGAGAAAAGGGAACTGATTGGCTGAAACATTTTATGGAGAAATCAAAAAGGATATAGCTGCTCCCTAAGCTCTTGTGTAACTCAAAAAAAGGAAGCAAAGCTTGAACATTTCCCTTTAGTTCACAGATAATAGGCCTGTTACAAATGTTGTTGCTTCTAGTAAATAAGCCTTGTAATGAGGTCAACTAATCATCTTACACTGGTGGTTAATGCAGCTATGAGCACATTCAGGAATGTTTA